AGTGTAGATGCCTGGAACATGGGGCAGGGAGGCATGCAGGGACAGGAGGGTGTATGGGCACTGGAGCTGTTTGCTGGCACAACGTGCATGTACAGATTCCTTGACTACCTCAGTGGCCTACAGGCCTGACATACTGTCCTTCTGGTATTCAGATCTGTCCAGGAGTTGTTTGCCTGGACCCCACTGGTAGACCTTCAGAACAGGGGCTTCAGTACTGAGAACACTTTTCCAAGAATACCTATGTTGCTTAAAGTGTGGCTGTATGAGGGAGAGATCTGATACTTGGTAGCATAGAGGAACCCAGGACCTGAGGCTTTGCATGCACTCTCTCCAAGGCACACTCACTCCCTAGCAGGTCTAATCAGAAAGCACAGGGGTTCCCTCTGTTCTCTACTCTCAGATTTGGGCCTGCCAGGGCAAATGCAAGTGTTGGAGATCCTTCAGCTCAGTGATCCTGCATTTGCTGAAATTTGAGGCTGGTATATCGGTTCACTGGGGAGTCCAGACACAGTAGCAGAACTGGGAGGCTGATGGTACAGATGCCTGCTTGGAGGTCCTGGGGAGCTCCTATAGCTGTCCACAGACCTGGGTGGACCAGCGGACCTGGGTGGCATGTACAGCTGGCCACCCACCACTGAAGAACTTGGTGGCTGGAACAGTCCCTGGCTGGGAAGCCCTGAGAAGCCTGTTCAGCTGCTCATGTACCTAGGACCCAGGAGACCAGTACAGCTGGCAGGCTGCCACTGAAGAACACGGATGGCCCTGCCTTCTCTGTCTCAGATACTGCGCAGGGAGTTCTGTGCTAGGGCACTGTGGGCTTCCTCCATGGCAGAGAGAGGCTGGATAAATGGAAGTGCAGGGGAATTGAATATTCACCACTCTCAGCCCACCAGAGAAGTCTGCAGGTGACCTGGATCCAAATGGTCTCAGCTCACAAGCTGTCCCCTCTCACCCTGGAAGCCTCAATGTCGATGTTCTGGCTTCAGCTGGCCGTCCGTTCATCAATTTTGGAGTTTCAGATCCTTTCTCCCTTAGATATAGTGATCGCTTGACTGCCATCTTTGATCCCTGAATCTGTTACTATGTTTTAATCAGTTGGTTTTTTTGTCTTGATGTATGTTTCACTGATGCAACACTTAGACAGAATTATTTCCTAGTGACAGTGATATAAACTTGACTTGAAGTTCATTGTTTCTTCTCGCTGCCTGTTTATGGGTTCCACAGCATTGGGATTTAAATCAGTATGACTATGTGCATAAAGCACAACCATGTCATCCTTCAGGCAACAGTGCACACACCACTAAGTCCAAGTTGTATTTTTAATCACAACAGTCACCCAACAACCCACTGAAGAAACCTGTGATCCAAAAATTTCCCTACCTACAAGAAGTGCAGGGATAATGAAAGAAAAAAGATGGAGGGAAAATCCAACCAACATTTGTCCCAACATGAGACCCAACCCCCAGTAGAAAGTCAGTCCCTGATACTAATAATGATACTCTGCTATGCTTTCAGACAGCAAGCTAACTTGACTGTAGCCGGGGAGGCTCCAGCCAGCATCAGAGCAGGGCAGATGCTAGGAATTGCAGCCAAGCATGGGGCAGAATTCCAGGCGTCCTGTGGAAATGTTGGGGAAAAAATGGAAGGGCCTGGAGGGAATAGGAACCTTATCAGAAGACCAACAGAGACAACTAACCCAGTACCCTTAGGGTTGTCAGAGACTAAGACACCAAAGTAGCGTGCATGATCTGGACCTAGGCTCCTTTCACACATGTAGCTGATGGGCTGCTTGGCCTTCATATGGTTGCCTGGTCAGTGGAGGGTGGGGGAGGCTTTTTCTAACATGGACTCTATTTCCTGCTTTTAGATAATGTCCCCCCTTGGTGTATATGATAAGAAACTCAGCTGAGGCTTAGCTGTCTGCCCAGTAGAACTTGCCATCATAGGAATTAATTACAGTGACAAGAAGACTGTTGTGACATAAGGCACAAAATTAGAATCCAAACATTTTAAAGATTTTTATTATTATGTACTAGGTTTACACACTAATGTGAATAACTAGGTGTACACACTAATGAATTCATGACACTTTCATACATATATAAAATTATTTTGAACACAATATGGTACAATTAATTTATCTGCTTTATATTCCCTAATTCCAACCCTCTCACTTCCCAATTAGGCCTACCTATGATTCAAATTTATTTGTTTGTTTATTTTTTATTTATTTTCATGAATATGGGAAGCTTAGTAGTAGCTATACCACTGAAGAAAACATTCCATTTTTCTCTTCTTCAGATATAATTGATTCCACTTATGTCTTGTAAATCATTAGGAATGAGGATTTACAGATATTGCCCTCCTCCCTCCATTATGGAGTATTTAGGGTCCAGTCTTTGTATAGGTGTGTGTGTGTGTGTGTGTGTGTATTCACTTATGTTTTTGCACAATTGGTGGAGGTTAGACATTGTTATCAAGTGCTTACTTGTAGGCTTAGATTTTTCACAAAACCTTCTTAATTTAGGGTCCTTAAACACCTTTACCTCCCTCCCAAACCCTTGAACTTAGACAGGAGATTAATAGGGAAAGGGCTATAGACCTTATTTATCTACTTTCTGCTGATTAGTGTCAATGGGCATTAGTGGATAACAAATTCAGTCTCTAGAATACAAGCTGTCCTGTACAAAGGCCAATACCAAGCAGCAACATAAAGTCAGCGAAGCCACAAGACTTAGTGGAGTGCCCTGAGAAGTTCTCTGGAATGTCTGTCTGTGAAGTCAACTGTCGAAGCACGAAGATCAGCACAGTGATATTGATCCAAACAGCAATGTCTCATTGTGTGTGGGCTCTATAGATCTCTTCTCCCGAGTCCACAGACAGATGTTTTCAGCTGGCCAAAGGCATGCCTCTCACATGAGACGGGATAACATCACATACCCTCTCAAAAGCCAAATCTCAAAAATCTCACATGCCCAGCTTGGAGCAAAACATCACATGACAAAACTGAGTCTTCAAGCAAACCAGAACCTTCCAGTTAATATACCTCAGTTTATTTCAATCTGACCTTTTGAGACAGAGCCCCTCACTTAAAATGGTACTCACTAATTTTCCTAGGCTGGTATCTTACCATTCTGCATCCTAAGCATTGAGATTTCAGGTCCATATCACCACTCCCAACTTCTACATGGGTATGGGAGAAGAAGGCTCAAATTCTCATGCCTAAATGGCAAGCTCTTCACATATTTAAACATTTCTATAGCATAATGGGCCCAATCATCTGCTGGCATTATGCAGGTGATAGCAGCTACTGAGAGTTCAAAGGTTTAATGAGCATGTCGTTCCTGGAAAATAATGTTCCAGCTTCTATTATCTTTTCTCCTATGATGTTGCATAGCCTTGGAGAGGGTGTTATATTTTGAAGAGACTGAAGGAGCCTACAGTGTTGACTTCACTGTTGTTTTAAGGAAAATGATATATACCTCACCTGTGCTAATTTGTCTCCTCTAGGAGACAAAATCTTGAAACACATTAGAAAAAAATTAATAAGCAGACACCAAGAAGGAAATTATAAGCCACAGACAACACCTTCTAAGTATGAACTCTAATATTTGAAAAAAATGGAAATCCATGTCAGTGAGAAAGAGTAACATAACTACTCACACTTCCTTGGGACAAACACTGTACCATGGAGAAAATGCCTGTAAATAAGTCTGAGCCATATAAGTACATTGATGAGTATTAGAAGCAAGACAGTTGTGAATATCAGTTAATAGAAAACAATACAGGAAAGGCATTGCTGACAGAACTGGGCATGAGAGAGGCAATGTTTGATGAACAGTTCAATGAGTTAGATGGACCTGTGTTTCCTTTAGCATTAAGAAAGGTATGAGATAATATTACCTTCATAAAACTCTTTGTGAATTGACCTTATAAAGTGTTAAGGCAATTTGTATCAAGCTGTAGTTCCATTAGGAAAATAAGATCAAGTTTAATCAGTGCTGTGACCTTTGAAAGGCTTAAAAGCTGGAACAATTGTCTGCCAAGTCTTGCAGCAGTGATCAAGGGAGTAGTACAGGTTAGAAGCACTGTTCACCCCAGGACTGAGGAATTTAGCACTCACTGTACAATATACATGTTTCTTTCTGTGAAAAGGTATTCTGGGTTTAGAGACTATTTACCAGGGTTAGAGCATTTAGAATCCAATTGTTTGTCAGTGGGGTAAACAGGGGAAGCTTCATTCCTAGGCAATAGCCTGCCTTTCATGGGGTAACCTACTGTGTAAGATGTTAAAATAGCAGATCCTCTCTTGGTACTATGTCTGGTTTAAGAGAAAGAGCCAGCTTCACTTTGTTTCTATGTGCCACATAGATGTCCTGTGGCAGTGTCACAACAGGAAAAAACAATTAACATTATCTGGTTACCTGTGTTTTAATATTTTCCCTCCTTATCTAATCATGTAACATGTGAATGTTCATCTAAATATGAGAAAATAACATTACCACTTACACATTGCATTTTCTCAATGTTGGTCATTAATCATCAGTATACAAGAAACACAAAGCCACCCTAAATGCTGTGCGGTGTCCCAAAACAGTAAACTATACATGTGCTCCACTGTCACTAATCTCTTGGACATCCTCCACAACTGTTCATTTTCTCAGAAATAACTTGGTGCTCCATTCTTCCTTCAGTCGAAAACTAGTGTTGAATATATTTTGTCTGTACAACAGATTAAAGAATGATATACAGACCTGAATAGACACTCATAGTAATCATTACCACCTATATATCCCAATATATAAATTTATCTAGTACTAAAATGTCCTAAATTGAAACAATTGAATGTAACTGTATTCATTACTATATTTCAAAGGGTGTTGGGAGATATTTTAAATATACTATGGATCTGATAAGAACAGGTTATGCTGAATATAAACAGTGTGTACAAATGGATATCAGATGACTGACTACATTAGAATAAATGGCTCTTGATATATTCAAGTACTGCAGAGCTGAAAAACCCTAGTATAGTGTCTGATGAGCAGAAAGGGACAGAGTGCTGGGTAGCACGCATTCATGGCCACATTGGCATTGACCAGCCATGTATGTGTTACATCCTGAAAGGGAAAATACAAAATTAAGATCACAGAGCTTCCATAAAGGACCACAAAGCTGATCATTAGTGTAAGAATACTTTGTGTGGCTTTGGTCTCAGAGAATGACTTAGTAGACAGGGATCTGTGGATATGTTGGACCCTCTGCTTATGCTTGAACAAGATCAACACCATGGAGCCGCTGGCTCCTATCATAAGTCCCAAATACACGACATCATTGAAGACCAATAGGATCAGATATATAATGTAAAATTTGGAAAGTTTGGAAATGTTTACTACAAAACAGTACACAAATTGTCTAAATTCAGTAAGATTTCCTTTATTTCTTATGTCAGTCACTGTCATAATAATGAAGCTATTTACAAGTAGGTACAGGACCCAGCAGAGGCCCAGGGAAGGACCAATAATCCTAGGGGCTTTAAACTTGAGCTGTGCCAAGCTGGAATTACTGGGGCTGATAGTGATGGCCTGAAAGACACTCAAAAGGCATGTGGAACCAAGGGATGCTCCCCTGGCAACTCTATGAAAATAAAACATAAGTTTACATGAAATGTCATCTGGAAAATACCTCTGACCAAAAGCAGCCATTGTTTGAGGAATTCCTTTGCAGAGAACCACAATGTTGGCCAGGGTCAGATGTTTGACAATCATGTCCATGGGCTTCATCCTGACGCCAGTGAAGTCAGCAAAAATAAAACAACAAAGTAAGGCCAAGTTTCCCAGCATTCCTAGGGCAGTCTGGGACAGGAAGAAGATCCCCACAGCCAGGTTTCTGGATGACATTCTCTCACTGTACTTGTAATGTCACTCATTATCAACTCCTGAGAAATCATGATGTGTATGTAGGGCTACTGTCTTTTTTGTACATAAAATTCATGCTAAGCAATGACCACTCAGATATAATAATATTTTATAGCAGATCTTACATCAATTTATATCCATTCAGAGGTAAAAAATATGTTTAAGAGTTTTAAATTTGTTAACTATGTGTATCTCTGTGTTATTCTATGGAAACATTCACTTCAGTGCATGTTCCTTTTGAGTCATAGGTGTTACAGTGAGTGTTACAGATGTGTGTGCTGGGAACCAATCTTCAATCCTCTGTAAGGGCAATGTGCCTTCTTATCCCAGAGAACCTTCTCCAGAGCTCCCAAGATTTGTTTTTGAACAAAAACTTTTCTAAAGCTCCAAGTATTGTTGCAGTCACAGTACTGTGGCTAAAAACAAACTTAGCATCCTCTCTGTTGTTCAGCTTCTTTAGGACTATAGATTTTAGTGTGTTCATCCCATATTTTATGGCTAATATCCACTTATAATTAAGTATATACCATATGTGTCTTTCTACTTCTGGGTTACCTCATTCAGGATGATCATTTCTAGATCCCACCATTTGCCTGCAAATTTCATGATTTCCTTGTTTCTTAATTGCTGAGTACTATTCCATCGTGTAAATGTACCACATTTTCTGTATCCATTCCTCTGTTGAGGGACATCTAGGTTGTTTCCAGATTCTGGCTACTACAAATAAAGCTGCTATGAACACAGCTGAGCAAATGTCCTTATTGAAGATGGGGCATATTTTGGGTACATGCCCAGGAGTGGAATAGCTGATTCTTGAGGTAGCACTATTACTAATTTTCTGAGAAAGAGTCAGATTGATTTCCAACATGGTGGTACAAGGTAGCATTCCCACCAGCAATGGAGGATGGCTCCCCTTTCTCCACAACCTCTCCAGCATGTATCCTACCTTCAATTTTTAATCTTAGCCATTCTGATTGATGTGAGGTAAAATTTCAGGTTTGTTTTGATTTGCATTTTCCAGATGACTAAGGATGCTGAGAATTTCTTTAAGTCTTTATCTGCCTTTTGATATTCCTCTGCTGAGAATTCTCTGTACCCCATTTTTCATTGGATTGCTTGGTGTGTTGGAGTTTAAATTCTTCAGTTCTTTATGTATTCTGGATATTTGCCCTCTCTCAGATGCAGGCTTTCCCATTGTGTAGGTTTTCATTTTGTTCTGATGAGAGTATCCTTTGTTTTACAGAAGCTTTGCAGTTTCATGAGGGCCCATTTCTGAAACCTCACTCAGAAGGACAAACAGGATAGACATTGGAAGTAGGAGAAGAGAAGGAACAGTACAGGAGCCTTCCACAGGGGACCTCTGAAAGACTCTACCCACCAGGGTATCGAAGAAGATACTGAGACTCAGAGCCAAACTTTGGGAGAGTGCTGGAATCCTTATGGAAGAATAGGGAGATAGAAAGACCTGGAGGTGACAGAAATTCCACAAGGAGAACAACAGAGCCAAAATACCTGGGCTCAGGGGGGCTTCAGGGACCAATACTCCAATAGAAGGACCATGCATACAAGAGACCTAGACCCCCCTACTCAGATGGAGCATATAGGCTGCTCAGTTTCCAAGTGGGTTCCCTATTAAGGGGATCAGGGGCTGCCTCTGACATGAACTCAGTGGCTGGCTGTTTGTTCATCTCACCCTGGGGGGAAGGAGAGGGCAGCCTTGCCAGGACATAGAGGAAGATGCAGCTGGCACTAATGAGACCTGATAGGCTGGGGTCAGATGGAAGGGTCAGTAGGAGAGGAGGGAAAGGGCTATAGCGGGTACGCAAAATGAATACATTGCAATAAAGATTTAATGAAAAATTATTGAATGATGGAAAAAAACAAACAAACTTGGCAATCTTCTTGCTAGGGATCAGCATTTCCACAAGGCTGTCCATATAATGGGTGATTTCTAGCTCACAGCACCACTGGCAAGGGGAATTCTAATGGCAAAAGTGACTATTTAGATGATTTCAGTTACCCTACAGATTTCCCAAATTCTACCACCTACAAACAACAGATGTACCAACCAACTCCATCTTTGAAAGGAAATAATATCCACCAGATTGTGTGGCATAAAATGCTTGCTCTTTTGAGTGCTGCACATCTCAATTTTAACATGATTTTCATTCACATTGCCATTCTGCACTCTGTGTTACAGACTCCTCAGCACCTTCAAAACATGCTGTTAATTCATAAAATAGGCTGTTGGCATGTATCATGTACAAAATGTAAAATAACAAAATGTGACAAGGCTAGTCCCATGTCAAACACATTAATTTTATACAAATGTTAACTTAATAAACTCAAAGGATTATTTAACACTGGGATGACAACCGTGAGAACTTTCCTCATTTCCTGAAGTACCGTTAACACCATAAGTGTACTGACTATTCCATCACAGATGTGTAAGCATATCGGAAATAATATTTTAATGTACCTGTAGGCCCAGTATGTAATATTTTCTATGACTTCAAAAACATAACTGATATTTGCACACACTGTTCCAAAGAAGAATGTAGGGCAAATGAACTGTGGGAATGGGGAAAATGTTCAAACCTGGGCAAGGCTCATCTTGAGACTGAAGAGGTATGGATCACCCCCTCCCTGTTCTCGGCCTGCATTCCCTGGTACACATAGCCTTCCAAACCCCATCTCTGCCTCCCTTGAAGTACTCCAGCACAGTGGCGAAGGTTTTTTGTTAAAACTTCCTATTTCCTTTTATGGACACGTCCAGCTGACACCTGGAATTCCTGTCGATGCAAATTAAGCATTACATTCACCTCCCAAATCTCTACCCACGCCCCAAGGTTTGTATATGTCATATACCTCCAATAAAAAGGAGATATGTCACTGAGAACCCGAACTCACTACCAGGCAAAGATCCTGCTAACCCACCTGACCAGTGAAGCTCCATTCCTTCTAAAACCTGTGATAAACAGTGTCTGGAGGCCAGAGGCCAGTAGCAAACCCTGAAAGGCAGGAGAAGGTGGAGAACTAAGTCATGTCTTAAAGGTAGAAACCAGAGCAGCAAAGACATGAATATTCTGCCCTGTCCAAGTGCTGCTAAAATATGCAAGTCATAGAAGCCCCATTAGAATCAACTGAAATATGAATGCCATGTATCTGATTTTTCCCACAATTTTATACACACAAGTAAACATGGAAACAGTATCACTGCTCTTGGTCTCTAAGGAAGAAAGAAAGCCTCCCATCGCTGTGCGACTTGGCACCAGTGATTCCAAAACAAAACTACCAACTGTGTCTCAACACTGAGTTAAAGAGAAAGCCTGTGCCACTGCATGGGGAAGGGCATGAGAGGAGATGAGAGAGGGAGGGTGGAATTTGGAGGGTTTGAGGGAGAGGCTACAGCAGGGATACAAAGTGAATAAACAGTAATTTATAAAAAGTAAAGAAATTAAATAAAAGAAAAAAAAAGAAATAAAAAGAAGATGCTCCACAGCCAGATCTTATGGAGGTATTTTCTCAATTGAGGTTTCCTCCTCTCTGATGACTCCAGCTTGTGTCACATTGACAGGAAAATATCCAGCACATGATCTCACTATATTATTACTTACATGGAGCAGTTTTTATCACTTCTTCAATACAGTGGCAGATATTGTACAGAGAAACTGGATCTTCTCTTCTCTTCTTCTTCCAACAATATGAATAGTTTTTATAATACATGTATTTTCTAGCATTCTGCTTAATGTTTACCTTCTTAGGAACACACACACACACACACACACACACACACACACACACACACACACAC